TATATATATTGATGAATTTATCATTTTATATATGGATTAGTTCATAAATTTTTGGCCTTTATTGCTATAATATGTTTATCTGATTATATATTATACATACGTTGATAATTTTTTGAATTTTAAAATATTTGTTCATATATTTTGGTGTATTGTCCTGTATTCTGGGTTATATTTATGTCGTATAAGTGGATATTCGTATCTAAATTGATATCGTCGCGCACATATATTCTTCGTTTCACTTTACTTATTGTAATTGTACAATTTATGGTGGAACTTAAACAATTTTTGTAAGTAAAATAAGACATTCAAACGTTGGTTTGCGTTCTGCAACTCAAAAGTTCTCTTCATCATCGGATGTGTCAAGGCTTCTTACTTGAACTCAACTTACGCCGATACATTCAGCGTCCAGCCTCCTTAAGTATATTAATCTCACTTTTATATGTTTCCGTTTTTGTTTCGTTCTAATACCCCGAGCAGTAGGTACGATACGGAACGTTCTATCGTATTGTGAGAGAGTCTTTTACTTTGAGTCAGAATACATCACGGTGAACCATTCGCCTGTTAGACCCTCCAATGCACTTGTTGTTTCGCAATTCACGCGCACCATTTTATAGTTCAAACTAGAGTGTCTATATTTGTAGTCGGTCTGACTGCAACCGAATATCACGTTATGCATTGAATATAAAGCCGAATATTTGGGCGTTTAATGTTTTGGCTTTATTATACCATCTATCATTTGTTTGACTTTTTATCATGCCATCTATCCTTTGTTTTGCTTCTTATCATGCCATCTATCATCAGTGTTGCCCTTTATCACGCCATCCATCATATTTTTCCTTATTATGTCATCTGTGCTCTATGCTGATACTGTTATGTGCTTGTCTTATCACAGCGTGAATGTGGTGGTCACTGGCGGGAACTCAGGCATTGGTCAGACGACCGCGCAAACCTTTGCCTTATTTGGTGCGAAGGTAATTCTACCATGCCGTACCATGGACAAGGCCAATAAAGCCAAAGAAGAGATTGAACTGTACTGTGCAGATAAGGGTGTGATCGCCACTGTGGTTCCCATGGTGATGGATCTCAACGATCTCACCACTGTCCAGAAGTTCAGTACTGAATTGGCTGGAATAGTGGACTATGTGGATATACTACTGTGTAACGCAGGCATTATGGCTCTCCCTGAACGCACCGAGACGGTATGCATGGACTTGACATAGCTTGTGTGCAATACCCGGATATATATATATATATATTATGTATGTATGTATGTATGTATGTATGTATGTACGTATGTATGTACGTATGTATGTATGTATAC